CATAAACCCAGAACTACCATTCACAAAAACTCATAACATCCATATACATATTTGTAAACTTGCCGCATATAAGTAATTTTACACGGATTATTGTTATACGGTTTTCAAAAGGCTCTTTCTTAATCCTAAAAATTGCCATATGAACGATTCTCGGTTCGGAAAGTCAATTTTTTTAAATTCCTAAAAGTTGACTTAATTAATCTGACATTTCCAGAAAAATTGTGGGGGTTTTCGGAGGGATGAGTATTGAAAAATCGAGCTTTCGAAAAAGTTGTCTAAAAATACAAAAAATTCGAAAATTTCGTAATCCAAAAGTACGAAAAAATGAGCTTTTGGAAAAATTGTCTAAAATTTTGCAAACATTCTAGAATATAAATCTCAATGTGCTTATTCGAAAAATATAGCATGTCTATGGTTCTAGAACAAGATTTTAGAAATATTCGGTTTAAAACTCAATTTTTTAGAAAATCCTAAAAATTTCTAGATTTCATTTCAATTCTGGAAAAATATTGAGTAGTAGTTTTTTGAGCTCTTGGAAAAGTTGACTGAAAATTTTCAAAAATTCTGGGATATAGATCACGACGTACTCATTGGAAAGTCTAATTAATGTTTGGCCCAAGAACAAAATTGTCGAAATATTCGGTTTGAAACTGAAGTTTTTAAAAATCCTAAAATTTGACGTATTTTGGTCGATTTTGGAAAAATATATAGTTAATTTTGAAGAAATGAAGCCGAAAATAACTTCTGGAAGTCGAAAATTTCATAACGGTGCTATTGAAAAATTGAGCTTTCTGAATACTCGCCTAAAAATCCACAAAAAGTTTTTAGATATAGATATCGACGTCAAATTTTTGTCAAAATTGTAACATTTCCCTATTTCTGTGCGCGATTCTGGAAAAATTCTAGGAGTTTTCTAAGAAATGATGGCGAAAGTAACTAACTTCTATATGTCGAAATCTACGAAAAAATCTCTTTAGATAATTTTCAAAGGCGGTTGAAAAAGTTTGAAATTTTTATATGAGGGGAGTTTTGCTTCCAAACAAGTCGAAATTTTTATAAAGGCAGAGTGAGTACTGAAAAATCGAACTTTTCAAAAACTTGTCTAAAAATTCGCAAAAAATGTTCAAAATTAGATCTGATTGCCTTAGAAAAAGATTTTAGAAATATTTGGTTTCAAAGTCAAATGGAAGTTTTCCAAGAAATGAGGCTGAAACTCTTTAGGTAATTTTCGAAGATGGACGAAAAGAAGGTGAAATTTTGATAACGAGAAAGTTGAAAATTCTGGGATATAGATTTCGAAGTGCTGATTCGAAAAATATGGCGGGTTTATGGTTCCGGAATAAAATGTTCGAAATATTGCGTTTGAAATGCAAATTTTTAAACATCCCAGAATTTGGCATATTTTGAGTGATTCTGAAAAAATGGTAGGAGATTTTGAAGAAATGAAGCTGAAAATATATAACTTCTGGCGGTCCAATTCTACAAAAAAAAATCTCTTGGTAATTTTCGAAAAATGTCGAAATTTTGGAAAAATTGAGGTTTCAAGGTAGCAAATTTAATAAAAGGGGAGTATGGAAAAATTGAGCTTTTGGAAAAATTGAGGTTTCGAAAAAGTTGCCTAAAATTCACCAAAAATCTTAGATGCAGATCTTATAGTGCTGATTCGAAAAATACAGCTTGTTGTGGACCCAGAGAAAAAAATTAGAAATCTTTAGTTTGAAAATTAAATTTTTGTTAAAATCATAAAAAATGCCACATTTCGTCGGGCGAATCTGGAAAAGTAGTAGGATTTTTGGAAGAAATGAAACCGAATGTAACTTCTGAATATCGAAATCTGCAAGAAAATCTGTGTAGGAAATTTTAGAAGGTGGCCGAAAAAAGTAGGAAATTTCGTAACAGGGGAGTATGGAAAAATTGTCTAAAAATTTTCAAAAATTCTACGTGCTTATTCGAAAAATATAGCATGTTTATGGTCCTTCAAGAAGATTTTAGAAATATGGGGTTTGAAACTCAAATTTTTAAAAAATCCAAAAAATTACAAAACGTTGTTTAAAAATTCACAAAATTCTAGGATACACATCTCGACATACTAAGTATACTGATTCCAAAAATATAGCTTAAAATAGTTTCAAAATATTCGGTTTGAAATTCAAATTTTTTAAAAATCCTAAAAATTGTCATATTTATTGGACAATTCTGAAAAAATGGTAGGTGTTTTCGTAGAAACGAGGCCGAATATAACTTCCGGAGTTCGAAATCTATAAGAAAATATCTTTAGGTAATTTTCGAAAGTGGTCGAAGAAAGGTCGAAATTTTAATAAGTTAGTATTGAAAAATTAACCTTTTGAAAAAGTTGTCTGAAAATCCAAAAAAATCCTGGGATATGGATCTCAACGTCCTAATTGGAAGCGTGTTTATATGGTCCAAGAACAAAATTGTCGAAATATTCGGTTTGAAACTCAAGTTTTTAAAAGTACTAAAATTTGACGTATTTTGAGTGATTTTTTGAAAACTATAAATTCAAAATAACTCCTGGAGGTCGAAATCTGCCAAAAAAACTCCATTGGTAATTTTACAAGTTGTTTAAAAAACGACTAAAATTTCAAAAGGGTGCTATTGAAAAATTGAGCTTTTTGAATACTTGTCAAAAAAAACTTTCAATCAACGATTGTGGAAAAATGCTAGGAGTTTTCGAAGAAATGATGGCGAAAGTCAGTTCTAGAGGTCGAAATCTATGAAAAAATCTTTTTAGATAATTTTTGAAGGTGGTTGTCGGAAAAAGGTGGAAATTTTCAAAAGATTATTGAAAAATTAAACTTCTAAAAAAGTTGCCTAAAATCCACTCAAATTACGGAATTTCGACGTACGGTCTCGAAAAATATGGCGTGTTTATTGTCTGGGAAAAAAAATTTCGAAATATTCGGTTTGAACCCGAAATTTTTAAAAATCCTGAAATTTGACATATATATTTTCAGCGATTCTGGACTTTGTGAAGGTCAAACTCTGCAAATAAATCTCCTTGGGTAATTTTCTAAGGGTGGAAAATTTCATAAATTAGTACTGAAAAATTGAGCTTTTTCAATACTTGCCTAAAAATCAACAAAAAAATTCTGAGAATTAATAATAATAATAATAATAATAATAAATTTATTGAGTACCATGAATAAAAAAAAAAAATACAAGTAAACGAAAATAAATAAATAATGCATAATACTCAAAAGGGAAAAAAAACAGATTCAGTATTACTGATTTACAATCTGTCCCTATGTTGAAAAGAAATGGAAATGAGATATGAAATACAAGTTGTAAATATGAAAGAGGAACATAATTTTTTATAGATAGTATTAAAGGTACAGAATTTAAAAAAGATTTAAATTTAATTTTAATTTTATTTCTGCTTGCTCAGCCAATAAGAGATCCTTTACAGATTTGATGATGTAATGGTTATTTCAGTTGGAATAATGACGTAAAACGTTATTTATGACATATGCAGCTAAATATGAAAATGACGATTTATATGAACTCAAAGAATGAGAAGGTATGTCAACAGTCAGATCTATTTGTCGCAGGTTTCTGTCATGTACAAAACTACGAATTGAAATTTTATTTTGCAGATAGTGAGGCTCATTATGAAGTCGGATTTTTGTTATGAGTTTGATAAAGTGATGAAAACGTCTTTCATGCATTTTCATCCAGCCTAAATTCCGTACAAAAGGTGTAATGTGGGTGTCACGTGGAATAGAATAAATATATCTCACACAAAAGTTTTGAATCTTTTGCAAACGATATTTGTCCACACAAGATAGACAGGGACCATATACTATGTCAGCATAGTTTAAATGTGAAAGTATCAAGGCATCAGTCAACAGGCGTTTGGAGCGAATGTCTAAAAGGTTCTTATAAGGGGAAATTAGATCTCAATGTCAAATTCTTCTCAAAATTGTAAAAATTGTCTTATTTCACTGAGCGATTCTGGAAAAATGTTGGCGAGAGTTATTTTTAGAGTTCGAAATTTATGAAAAAATCTTTTTAGGTAATTTTCGAAGCTAGTTGTCGAAAAATGTAGAAATTTCCAAAAGAGTAATCAAAAATTAAGCTTCTGAAAAATTATGGAATTTCGACGTAGGAATGCAAAAAATATCGCGTGTTTATGGTCTGGGAACAAAATTTTTGAAATATTCGGTTTGAAACCGAAATTTTTAAAAATCCTGAAATTTGACGTATAATCTTTTGAGCGATTTTGGATAAATATTAGAAGATTTTAGAGAAATGAAGTCGAAAGTAATTTTCGAAGATGTCTAAAAATTAAAAAAAAAAAACTGGGCCCTAGATCTTTACGTACTGATTCGAAAAATACGGCGTCGAATCAAATTTTCGAAATATCCAGTTTGGAACTGAAATTTTTAAAAATGCTTAAATTTGACATATTTTGAAAGCGTCTGAAAAAATGTTAGAAGATTTTGAAGAAATGAACTTGAAAGGACTTTCTGAACGTCGAACTCTACAGAAAAAAAATCGCCTTGTGTAATTTTCCAAGTTGGTGAAAAAGGGAGCTTTAGGAAAATCTAACCAAAAATCCACAGAAAATTCTGAGATTTAGATATCGACGTTCTGATTCGACAAATAGAAGAATTTTCTGGTCGCCAAACATATTTTTAGAGATATTCGGATTGAAAGTCAATTTTTTTCAAAATTAGAAAAAAAAATAGGTGAAGCAGTTCTAAGGGCAACTTTTCAATAAATATTAAATATTTTTCATCAAAAAAATCAGTCTCTATCCAAAATTTAAAAAAATGCATAGTTTTTGACGAAAACTAAAAAAAATAGCTGTAGAAACTGGGGTAAAGAGAGAGGAAATGACGTCATCTTGTACTTAAACGGAATAAAGAAACATAAATAAATAAACCCAGACATTCAAAATGTTCTCAGCTACCTCATTATCTAACATCCTTGGTACCAGGATTACCGTGTAGCAACTATTCTATGTATCACAGACCTCCCGCCTTCAGTAGCCTCCCATCCTTTAATGTTTAGTGTGTGTTTGCTCATCCCAGTGAACACGTCAACACATGTCAAACCTAATTCTTCCAGACGATGTACACCCCACAAACGTTAATCCTAGCTGCCACCCTTCTAATAACCGGTTAGTACCTCGCATCAAACTCATTTACCATTTTGTTAATACAATTTTACTTACTTAGTTACTTAACAAGCAACTTCCTTCCATTAAACTGACTCGCTCATAAATATTAAGCGTCTCTTAATATTAAATAACACAAAACATACAGTGGTGATTTCTAGCTGATTGTGCCACCCCAAATGTGTCTCTAGTAGTCCCCCCAGCTGTCAAAATTTCGGACACGGCGACCCTTGATTGCAAATTAGAGCCATTTAAGGGAACTCTCCACGAAGTTAAATGGTTCAAGGACGGTACCATAATCTTCCAGTACAAACCTGCAGAAGTACCACCCGGACAATCTTTTAATGTACCTGGAATTAATTTAGATGTAAGTGATACTATAGTAATCGTAATCACTAACGAACAATTTTAGCTCGACAAGTCTAACTCTTCTCGAATTGTCCTTTCGAACGTGTGCCCGAACGCTAGTGGTCTTTATGGGTGCGAAATTTCCACAAAAGAACCTTTTTTTCGTTCGACGTTACACACGGCTTTCATGTTTGTGGTTGGTGAGGATAAATTAATAAATTAGAGTAGGTACTTGTGACTTAATTGAAACGCGTTGTTTAGATGTTCCTGAAGAACCCCCCACAGTGAAATACAGACAAGTGAATGCTAATATTCGGGCTGAGTGTGCGTCACCACCTTCTAATCCCCCGATTAACATTACGTGGGTGGTCAACGAAGGAAAGGTGGTGTAGAAAAAATTTTGTCACTATTAGTGAGTAAAGTAGGATTTTTTAGACCTATCGAGGCAGCGACACACACATTTCAACACACATAAATGCAACCAGGAACCACCCACAGGTCACTTTGTCCATACTAGAGCTATTTTACCGAGACGCTTATAAATACGGAATGGCTCATGTACGGTGTGTTGCAAAATTATTCGACTTGTATCACAAAGAAGCCGAGTTTGTTGCTTTTGATGTTGAAACGTTTACCCTACCTGGACAAAAAAAACTAGTGGTTTATCCGGCGTCTAAAGAACCTGTACCACTGGAAAAGCACTTTGTGATCTATTTTTTGCTGGTGGTGGTTGTAGTGGGGGCTTTGTATGGCTACGTGTGGTACAAGTCCTAAATAAAGCACTAAGAAAATACATTTTCTGTTCACTTGGTGATAAAACCGCAAACCTCTGGTTTTGTCTTCGCCATTTCCCCTCATCGTTTACCAACAGTGTCAAGTTTCCCAGACTTCATCTAACCTTAATTAATTAATAAAAGTGGAGCCTAGATGAAAATTCAAGCTCAAATATTGATGTGGAGGCAATCCAGATGATGGAATTGTCTAGATTTTGATTGATGCCAGACCGAGTGGTCATCAATCGATTTTTCAGCGTGACGTCTAGCTTTCAGCTGAAAATTCTGCCCTAAATCAATAAGCATCGCCATTAGTGCAACTATTAATAAAGGTTTATTTGGAAGCGATTGGCGCTTATTTACTCTTCAAGTGCCGTAAACTCAACATTAACCGCCATTTCAACAAACAGTGCAATTTTTCGTTAACCAGAATCCGAGTCTATAACAAGCGCTGTAACGACTGTCACTTCCTCTTTTATTGTTGTTGCCAACATAACTTACGAAGTCTCTAGACTGCCCCCTGGCGGCTTTATGCTCTCGTTGAATACTTTATTTCCAGTCGGATGAAAAATTTATTACAGATATAAAAGTTTCACTGGAAAAGTCTGCACTTTACACTATAGTGTGGCTTCAGCATTTGTGCAAACGGTTAATAGCTTTAATGGGAGGTCAGACTGTATTGATTTGGGTGGAAATTGAATTGGTATGCATTTTGGCAAAGCTGAATTGCAACTTAAAATCTTTTCAGTGTTCGATTTAAATTTCCTAATGGATTTTAAAATTATATATAGTCACTGGCGGACTTTGTAAAGAGCGCCGGCCACAATTTGGGTCCTTGAATCCGCCACAGTCGATAATTAATCCGTCCACCAAGCCCTAAAACATCGATTTCTCCTCGTTATCCTTGAGGTATGAAACGATAACCGCGTGCTATTTCCGGTCGGTTCAGACGTCACATAACGAAGCATAGAATAACTAACGAGATAACAAACAAATTTTTCCTTGAGATCGAGGAAAACACCGAAGGGCGAGAATGTGTAAAGATAAACGTTTCCATTTGAAGTTCGTTATTTTCGTATGCGGCAATTTCGGAACTACATGGAGCGATGGCGATATTTGTTGGAAGCGGAACTCTATCAGACTTTATCGAAAAATGTATTGTAGAGAAATTTCATGTAGAGTGTAAAGTGTGACGATAAGAGTAAGACGGCTATAAATATGTAAGATTGTATCTACACAGAACGAATTTGTGCTCTAAATTGGAACTGGAGGACGTTTTGCTCAAAATCTTTGTAAATACACATATTGTGCATTGAGTAACCTTTCATATTATATAAAAATCTGATCGCAACAAGCAGCGAAATCGAGCAGAACCGTCCGTTTTAATTAGACCATGTTCTGTATAAATCCGTGATTAAAAAAGCGCCCTATATTGAATTTTTTCAGATTTTAATTAAAGCAGACTCTTGCTTGAAAATTAGGGAAATTCGAACGCAACTCGAGCAATCATCGAGCGAAATTATATATTCTTTGATTGCGTTTAATAAGACTTTTTCTAATTGCGCCTCTCACGACACAACCATCTAACCAGATTAAAAGTCTATAATTTATAAAAGAGCGGTTCGAAACAAAACTAATTAAGACTCTCATCAGACGTCGGAGTTGAATTTTGTAAAATACGCGAAAACTCGAAGGGAAGTGCTTAAACAGGTTTCCCCCTCGGACAGATTATAGATGAGCTCATCAAACAAAGAGGAGCTTAATTCAATTACAGTTAGAAATTGGCCGACTTCTTACCTCAACTTTTCACTATTCCCAGTAATTGTCGTAATTTCTGGCGCAACTTCGTTAGGTTTAATGCGTTATTGAACAGGTGCATCCTGAGGACGGAAATTAAAAATAAACGACCGAAAAATATTTCGCAAGGGTGATTCTGTTTGCGCTTTGGGATAATTGAGGGCGTTTATGGAGTTTTTACGGCGAGAGGAAGAAACAAACAAGGGTGTGTAGGAAGGATTTTATTAGTTTCGGAGTTAGGCGAGCTTAATGATTGAAAGCTGCGAGATTTTCGACTTTCGTTCAAAACGGTTGGAGACAGGAAAATTCATTTCGCACTTTTCGAGTCGGACGGGTTCGTAATTTTGGGGAACTAAAATGCGGTGGTCAATTTTCAGTGTTTCTCGGAGGTGTTGTAAATTTCAGGCTCGTGTTTGAACTCGGGAATTGTAGTTTGTTCATAAAAGTTTTGCAAGGAAAGTTTGGTTTGTGTTAGACGAAGTGGTGGTGTCAGGGTTGTATTTACGTTATAGAGGTAGTAAAATTGACATGGTTATGGTTTTTCGATACTTCGAATCAAAAATCCAACTTTCGGATTTTATAACACGATTTACTTTGTAATAAAGATTTATTTATAGCCAGTGCTCGGTGTCTAATATTTTGGTGGTGTTTTTTCGTTGTTCTGTGTCCATAGTCACCGATTTTCGTCTTAGTATTATGACAAAACTTGTTTTCTTTTACCGTTTTGTATATAATTCACTTTTTCTATTTTCTTCCAGGCTTCCTAGGCCTTCTTTTTCTCCTTCTTTGCTCCAAATCCCTTTCTTCTCATGTACCATTCAATATTTCTAATCATTTTTTTCATTTCTTCTTCCAACTTCTTACAAGTGATGGAATTTACGCTTAAAAAAAATTCAAAGTGGCCCCGCCCACCCACCCCGTTGGCTTTATTTCATTTGTACGATGCTGTAATTTTAATTTTCTGGATCACCATTTTTTGTTTTTTCATTCCTTTTTTTTTAATTTTTTTTATTTATTCAATTTTTCAAATTTGAAGTCTTGGATTTTTCATCTCCCCGATTTTCCAATTTTTTAATTTTTCAATTTTGCAATTTTTGGATTTCTTTAATTTTCAATATTTCGATTTCACAATATTTCGCTTTTTTCATTTTGCAGTTTTTCGATTTTTAGATTTATCAATTTTTAACCTTCGATTTTTCAATTTTTCAAGTTCTTGATATCCAATTTTATAGATTTTTGAAAGTTTGCATTTTATTCTGTGTTGTTTTTGCATTTTTGATTTTTCAATTATACAATTTACCAATTTTTTGGTTCGAATAGTTGAGAAATCAAAAAATTGAAAAAACGGAAAATTGCAAAATCGAAAAAAATCGGTAAACTGGAAAAAAACGAAAATTGGAAAACCTAAGAATTGTAAAGTTGAAAAATTATAGAATCGTCAAAATTATAACTCGGAAAACGGTAACATTGCAAGATCGAAAAACTGAAAAATTAAATATCGAGATACTGAAAAATTAAAAATGGAAAAACCGAATAAATGAAATAGTTTTCAAGTCCAATAGGTAACTGAAAGAAAAATGGAGAAGTTCTAAAATAAAATATTTTCATTTTCCCGATGTTGTAATTGTAATTTTTTCGATTTTTATCAAAATTTTTCGTCTTTTCATTTTCTTTATTTTTTAGATGTTTCTTTCGAATCCAAACATTAAATTTTGGATTTCTTAATTATCCGATTTTCCGATTTCTTTCATTTTCAATATTTTGATTTAACAATGTTTCGTATTTAAGATTTAGTAATAAATTTTTAATCTTTCGATTTTTCAATTTTTCAAGTTCTTAATTTTCAATTTTTAGATTTTTCAGTTTTCATTTTATTCTGTGTCGTTTTTTCATTTGTGATTTTCAATTATACAATTTATCAATTTTTCCATTTTTTGGCTCGAAAAACAAATCAAAAAAACGAAAAAACGGAAAATTGCAAATTCGAAAAAGAAGAAAATCGAAAAATGGCAAATCGATGAACTCTTCGAAACACTGAAAAACCAAAAATCGGAAAACTTAAAAATCGAATAGAATAGAAAAATTGGAAAACTCAAGAATTGTAAAAATTAAAAATTATAGAATCGTCAAAATTGTAAGTCGGAAAACGGTAACATTGCAAGATCGAAAAACTGAAAAATTAAATATCGGGAAACTGAAATATTAAAAATGGAAAAACCGAATAAATGAAATAGCTTTAAAGTCCAATAATTGAAATAAAAATGGAAAAGTTCTAAAATAGAATATTTTCATTTTCACTATGTTGTAATTTTTATTTTTTCGATTTTTTATAAAAATTTTTCGTCTTTTCATTTTCTTTATTTTGTAGATGTTTCTTTCGAATCTAAACATTAAATTTTGGATTTCTTAATTATCGGATTTCCCGATTTCTTTCATTTTCAATATTTTGATTTAACAGTATTTCGTATTTTAGATTTAGTAGTAAATTTTTAATCTTTCGATTTTTCAATTTTTCAAGTTTTTAACTTTCAATTTTTAGATTTTTCAAAGTTTTCATTTTATTCTGTGTCTTTTTCTCATTTTTGATTTTTCAGTTATACAATTTATCAATTTTTCCATTTTTTTTGGCTTGAAAAACAATTCAAAAAATTGAAAAAACGGAAAATTGCAAAATCGAAAAAGAAGAAAATCGAAAAATGGCAAATGGATGAATTGAAGAAACGAAAAATCGAAACACTGAAAAACCAAAAGTCGGAAAACTTAAAAATCGAATAGAATAGAAAAATTGGAAATCTCAAAAATTGTAAAAATGAAAAATTATAGAATCGTCGAAAAACTGTAACATGAAGATCGAAAAATTGAAAAATTAAAAATGGAAAAACCGAATAAATGAAATACATAGTTTCAAAGTCCAATAATTGAAAGAAAACTGGAAAAGTTCCAAAATAAAATATTTTCATTTTGCCGATGTTGTAATTTTAATTTTTTCAATTTTATATCACAATTTTTGGCCTTTTCATTTCCTTCAATTTAATCTTTCGTTTCTTCAATTCTTCTTCAAGTTCTTGATTTCCAGCATTTAGATTTTTGAAAGTTTTCATTTTATTTTATTCCGTTTTTGCAGTTTTGATTCTTAAATTATACAATTCACCGATTTTTCCAATTTTTTTTGGTTTTAAAAGTGGAAAAATCGAAAAATTAAAAAATTGGAAAATCGAAAAAG